AATATCCTATGCTGAAAGCTCAACAGATTCAAGTTTCGACTCCAATTGTGAGGAGTCTAGGAGTGTAACATTAATGTATTTCAGTTACGGAACTATATTATTAACGTTCTTATACAATTTTTATTCAGGTTAAAAGACAATCAACCCGATTTGATATTAAAGAGTCCACCACTGATAATGACGAAGTAGAAAGTGACTATGATTTTTCGAAATTTGAGCTATCTTACCGAGCTCTTGACCCCTCAAAAATGTGGGTTCTCAATTCATCTGGGCGTGTCGTCGAAAAAGTGATATATGACCATGCACGAAAATTAGAATACGATTCTTACACTCCTTCATTATAAACGGTGCTGATGGGAGACAGAAAAACTGTTTAACAAAAATGAGTGGAACGAAATACATTCCTCTAACATTGTGAATCTCTTTAAAAAAATACAACGTAGACAATTTACCCACCCTTAATGAAATTATTTTTGAGCCGCTTTTTCTGATAATGTTCCTTATTCAACAGGGTTGGATTATATTAACCTTGCGTATAGGTCAATGTATTCTCTGTGGAGAGGAGAAGACGATTTTACTACAGCTTCAAAACTAAAAGTGTGGTTCGAAATGAACATCTGGGCCCATTTAGTTGATCCTGCATTTCGTGAGATGGAAATTGATTTGGTGCGAGGAGAAGGAATGTGTTTATCGTCAAGCGATAGAAAAAATATTGATAGGTCTGAAAATGATCGAAAGAAAATTGGAAAAAGGGGGGATGAGATTACGCAAAAAGCGCCTTGAATTTGGCGCAATTGAAGCTGGAAGAAACTGGGAGGGAACAAAGGGAGCCAAAATCTTAACGGATTCCTTAAAAATGTCCAAGATGCTTAAAGATATGATTAATGTACTTGCGATATGAAAGAAGAATGTTTTGAGAAAGCTACAAATAGCTGGAATTCTCCAAGGAGCGAATATATAATGCAAGTAATTATCGTAGATCTTCCGATAGGATACGATACTGTACTAGTATCCATCGTCGAAAATTTTATGAAGTTCCTGGTTGTTTAAACAAGTATCAACCGCTTGGATTCATTATAATAGAGGTTTTATTCGTAAAATCTATAATTAAGCAAACACTTGACTAATGAGTCAAAAGTAGATTTCGAACATTTCTTAATAACTATTACGAAAATGACGGACCCAGACACCCCCTCAAAATATTGTATCCCTTACATCGTCATATAACTCCTGAAAAAAAAAGCGGGTTCGAGATCTTCAAGATACTAGTTATAGTGAATGTGAAAGGGATGAATAATAATTAATGTGTTCCTATTTTTTTTAGTGGGATTTGTCAAAATTTTTGAATTTTAATTTGTATTAATGTATGTGCAGTGAGTGTCCTTGGAAACCTAGCGAAGTTTAGAAATAGAAAATTTTTTTCTCGACTACAAATTGTAACAGTATCGTAGTATAGCAAGGTACGGCTATAAGAATTTTGTGCTACGCTAAATTTCCCCCGAAAATTTTTTTTTAACAAGTTAATCATAAAAAAAAAAAAAAGTGAAACAGATTGACATTTGTACTGCGCCTGCTTGTACTGTATTCGGTATTCTAAAAGTCACGTGATGTATATATATATATATACAGTATATTACTTAATCACTCGAATTTTAGGCTGTGCCTGCGAAGTAAAATATCATGTAATACACGAAGTGCTAAGTCACTTCAACTTTAATCATGTAATCAATAAATACATACGCCTAGCATCACGGTTGATTACAAGTGCGATGCTGAGGTACAAGCTGGGTCATGATATAGTCGCGATTATTTTTTTTTCTTGGCGTTTTTCCGGGACCGCTGGTCTCAGAAATTTCTTAGTATAAAGTTTCTTACATAGAATATATACAGTATATGTATATTTTTCTATATTAAACGAACTTTTTAATATATGTACTGTATCTACATCTTGTATAAAATAAAATCTAAAATCGATTTATTAAAAGAATTGAATTCTAAACTTCAGACGGAGAATAGGGAACTTAGAAACAAGAATGCTAAAGTTAAGCGTGAAAATGCAGAATTAAGACAAGCTTTATAAGGACATGAAACCAGAATCACGAAACTAAGACAGGTGAAAAAGAAAAAAACATTTCTACAGTAAATTCCAATGATGCTCATCATCTTATATATCCGATAATGCTTCAAATTCTAATGTATACAGTATCAGGAACCCTTGATTCAGTCAGAAGCATCAAGATGTTCCACATCACCTATATAAAAACCCAAATCATTAGAGAATAACGCAGTAGATAATTTCCTAGATTTAACATATAAAGAAAAGGTTAGTAAAGAAATAATTCAAAACATTAAGGAAAAGAAGCTTCGAGATTAAGAAAAAATCATAACTTTCCAGGATACTAAATCTTTGAGTATAAAAGGTGAGCAGAGATTAATCCAAGAATTATTTATTCTAGAAACATCTCTACAAGAATTGAATATATCATAATTTAAAACTATATAACTAGATTTAGCTCAGTTATATAACAAAGCTTTTGATGCTGAGAATGGTTTAAATAGAGCCAACCAAGAAGAAATCTTGTATTGGTTTATTTATAAAAAGAATTTCAAGATTTAATTCAAAAAGATTATAAAAAATAGTAAAGGTAAAATTGATAAATAGAAGAAAAAAAAGCTTACTTTATAATTTTATTACAAAATGACTTTTTTATTATTTATAAAAAAAGATTTCAAGAATTGAGTTTACATTTTTCAAAAATATTGCAAGATATTAAGACTTCAAAAATGTACTAAACTGATATTAAAATGATATTAAAATGAACTGATCTATAGTAAATTTAATATATTAATTATAATCTATTTATATAAATTTATATTATATTTTAATATCAAATTATTATTAAAATAATATCAAAATAATATTGTTAAAAGCTTTATAAAATATCTTATATATCTTTTTTAAAATGACAATTATTTACTTATTACTTTAATAAGAACATAATTTAAAAAATACTTGGATTAAATGGTTTAAATTACAAAAAAACATTTATAAGCAATTTTATATTTTTAAAAAATCATTTTAATAATAAAAAATATTTAAATTATATTTTTTCTTTTTATTTAAGGATCTATATTATATAGAATTATATTTTTTATTTATATTTCTTATTATATATTAATTGATTAATTTAAATTTTTAATTAATTATTATTTAAAAATTTTAACATAATTAAAAAATTTAAGATTAAATTAAGAATAATTTAAAGTATATAAAATTTTTTTTTAGGGAGAATTATCCCAGTATGTAAATATTATCTCTTTATTTGATTTGTAGATATCAAGGTATACATTATGAAAGAAACAATATCTCTTGGATACATTATATATAACAAGTTAAATGCTAGCTTGCCTACTTGTACTATATTTAATTAATATTGTAAAAAATTTCAAAAGCAATATT